AGAACTGCCTCCTCCCACATTATATTCCTCCCTAGTGCTGGGATTAAAGGAGTGAAACACTACCCACCCCTCCCGGTTTCTATAGCAACTAGTGTGTCTGCTGGGATTAAAGGTGTGTGTCATCACTGCCTGGTCTGTAAGGCTGGCCAGGGTGGCTGCTTTACTCTCTGGTCCTCAGGCAAGCTTTATTTATTGAAATACAAATGAAATGCCACTACAGCCAAAAGTTGTCCAAACCAAGACGTGAGGTTGATTTCCACGTTTCTAGAATGGTAATGGCTGCTGTGAGACGCAATGTATTCCCAGAACCTGGAACAAAGCAGCCACCTCTGACATGAGGAGGTGCATCCTTTGCAGAGCTCACATCTGTGCGCAGCTGGATTTTCTTCTCTGTTTAAATACTGCACTGCCATGGTTTAGAGGAAGAGGAGCTAGTTCAGCTATTCCATATGAAGCCAGACATTAAGAGAAATGTAAACCAGAGCCCTGTGCTAATGGTTTTAGTTGTTGCTGGTTTTGGTTTGGTTTGGTTATTTTTTTTTTAATCTGAGACAGATTGTCCTTTGTATAACAGAACACTGGCTATGCTGGAACTCACTCTGTAGACCCCACTAGCTTCAAACTCACATAGATCCCCTTGCCTCTCACCACTGGGGGCTGGAGTTAAAGGATGAGCTGCCATCCTGTGCTAATTTAAAAAACAGTCCCATGTAGTTAGAGGGTCTGGAAGACTGTTCCCACCTCCACCGTCTCCCAGGTGCTGGGATTACAGGCATGCAGCCCCACACCTGGGTTTGCTTCTAAACCCCCCCAACTCTTTGGTTTTTCAAGACAGCCCTAGCTATCCTGGAACTTGCCCTGTAGACCAGTCTGGCCTCGAACTCACAGAGATCTGCCTGCCTCTGCCTCTCAAGTGCTGGGATTAAAGGCATGCACCACTACCTGACTTCTCAAATCTTTTTTTTAAATATTTATTTATTATGTATACAGTGTTCTGTCTGCATGCATGCCTGCAGGCCAGAAGAGGGCACCAGATCTCATTACAGATGGTTGTGAGCCACCATGCGGTTGCTGGGAATTGAACTCAGGACCTCTGGAAGAGCAGTCAGTGCTCTTAACCTCTGAGCCATCTCTCCAGCCCCTGACTTCTCAAATCTTAACAAAGAAATACTTCTGCTTATTTGATGTGTAAAATTCCCATCACTCCTCAGTGAGTAATCAGATTTTCCAAAGCCAAAGGAAAACTCACTTGGTTGGGCCCTCTGGCTCTTAGATCCTGCCTGACAGGAGCAGTCTCCAGCTGCCAGAGCACTGCTGACTCTGGCTGCAGGAGCAAACCCCTTGTCTGTCTGTCTGTCTGTCTGTCTGTCTCTCTCTCTCTCTCTCTCTCTCTCTCTCTCTCTCTCTCTCTCTCACACACACACACACACACACACACACACACCTTACCTAGCAGGTTAAAGATTTCCTGTTAAAGATTTCCATGGGGGCCCATGACTTAGCAAGTAGAGGCACTTGCTGCACAAGCCGGAAACCAGAGTTCTCTCCCCAGAACCCATGGTAGGATGGAGAGAACAGGACTGTCAAAAACTGTGCTCTGATGTCCACGCGTGTCATAGCACATGCATGCCTGTGCTCTCTCTTAAAATATGCACACTCTCTTTCATGAAAATTTAAAAGGGGTGGGGTGATTGGTGGTGGAGAGATGACTCAGCAGCTAAGAACACTTTGCTGCTCTTGCAGAGGACTGAGGTTGGGTTTCCCAGCACCCACATAGCACCCTGCCTGTAACCCCAGCTCTGGCTGCTGCAGGCACCTGCACACATGTGATATACATACATACACTCAGGCACACAAACGCGTACAAATAAAATATGTAAGTAAGTAAGTCTTTCTTTTATAAAGACCCCGTGGGGCTGGGAGACTAAAGGAAGATAAGCCACGCAAGCTAATGCGTTCAGAGGATTGTTGTCTCAGCACTGGTACGGCCTATGCCTGTCTCGCAGGCTCGCCTGCCCTGGTGCTCAGCCGAGACTCCCTGCCAGGGGAGACTGGTGTGGATAAAGGACTTTTCCAGAGCTGAAGTTCAGAGATTCTCACCCCGTGGAAATTTCTCTTGCCCTAGGGATGCTGCTGTTGGGTGATCTTCCTGGCATGACTCATCGTCTTTGTTCCACACCTATGGCCTTCCGTGTGACAATTGTTCTTGGTGTATCCAGATCCAGGCCACGGGGGAGCAAGAGATGCTCTCCTCCGGGGAAGCAGCTGCTTCCCCTCCAAGCTCAGCCTGGAGTGGTCTCTGCAGGTCGGACAAAGGGAGCAGGCTGTTGTCCCATTGGAGTTCCATTTGTTTGTTGAATTTTTTTGGTTTTCTGCTCCTGGGGCTAGAGCGTTGGGCCTCGTTCACAGTAGCAAGCCCTACCGATGTGCTGTGTCCCGGTTCTTTCCGTTTTTTCCTTTCCCTTGAACTTGGCCATCCTCCTGAGGAGCTGCCATCACAGGCCTGAGCCACTGAGTACTTGGCTTGGCTTGGCCACTTGTTCTTCTGTCAAGGCTTTTATGTAGAAAGCTGGCCTCAGACTTGAGGTCATTCTACAAGTGCCTCTGAAGGGCCAGAACCCCAGCACGTATTACCACAATGCCAGGCCTCGGCTGACCTCCATAAATAAAAAGAAACAGAGGGTTTTTTTTTTGTTTTTTGTTTTTTGTTTTTTTTTTGGTTTTTTGAGACAGGGTTTCTCTGTGGCTTTAGAGCCTGTCCTGGAACTAGCTCTGTAGACCAGGCTGGTCTCGAACTCACAGAGATCCGCCTGCCTCTGCCTCCCGAGTGCTGGGATTAAAGGCGTGCGCCACCATCGCCCGGCCTGAAACAGAGGGTTTTGAGCCAGGCCTGGTGGCAGATGCTGTAACCCAGCACTGGGAAGTTCAGCTAAAGGAGGAGGATTGCTTAGAGGTCAAGGCCATCCTTGGCTATTATATATAGTAAGTTCTGGGCTAGCTTGAGCTACATAGTAAAACCATTGTCTAAAAACCACAAAACAGGAACAGAGAAGAGAAAGAAAGAGATGAGGTTATTGGAACCATCCGAGGAGCTGACAGTCCCGAAGCGCAGCTGAGGAACATTTTGGAAATGCGAACTATCTTTAGGCACTGTGGTAAGCAGGAAGTTCCAGGAGGACAGTGGGTTGGCCAGCTGAGGTGCCCCACCTTTGGCTAGGCAACTTTATCAACAGTAGCTAACAGCGGGAGAAGGAGAAACTTCTTCATCCAAAAGCAGGTTCCGTGGACGGTGGACAGGCCAAAGACGTGTCTTCTCACAGAGAACTTCCCTGGTGGCCTGCTCGCAGGGATGGCCCCAGAGCTCGCCTGGGTGTGTGTGATACTGATCTCTCTACTGCACTGAGGCAGGATCTGCCTCTGAACTGGAACTCATCAACTTGACTAATCTAGCTAGTCGCCTTGCCCGGGGAATCCTGGCTCTGTGAGGTGGGGATCCCAGCCCTGGTCCTCAAGCCTTCAGAGAAGCTCTTTGTCCACTGAGCCCTGTCATTGGCCTCGCAGCTGGATTTCTGAGATGGGGCCAGAGGTGAGCCTTCAGTGGACAGAGCGCTAGACACACGCTAGCTAAATAAAGTATTTCAGGCCTGTGAGATGTCTCGGGGTAAAGACTCTTGCTACTACTGTGCAAGCCTGGTGACCTGGACTTAATCCCTGGAATGTACGTAAAGGTGGAAGGAGAGAATTAAGTCGACAAAATTGTCTCTGACCACTCCATTTGTGCAATAGGCATTGTAGCCACCACACACACACACACACACACACACACTAGACTAAACACATTTTTTTTTTTGTTTGCTTTTGGGAATTGAACCCAGAGTCTCTCACAATTCTGCTGTTGGGCTACACTCCCAGCCCTAGGAAGGAGAGTTTTCAAAGCCACCTATGTCTTACTTCTCAGAGATAACCAGTCATTTTTTAAGGGTCATTCTTTCCTTCAATGGATCCTTTTCAACAGAATTAAAGCCATGTTGCAGCATCCACACTGTGTGAATGGGCTTGGCCTGTATTGGTCTTGCCCGGTGGAGGAGCAGAAGAGGCCGCCTCTGGCACACAGTTCTGCTAACACTAGGACCAGGCAAAGGCTGCCTGGCTTGGGAAGTTGCCACTTCCTGGCCTCTAATCCCAAAGGAAGATCTATCTGGGTACCAGCCAAAGTGAGTGGGCGTGTCCATGGATACAGTCTTTTGTCTCGGACAGCCCCCACCTCTGTGTTAGAACATGCTTGTGTTAACAGTTCAAGGAGCTGTGCCTGTACCTTGTCCTTAAGGATGTTTAGCAGATTCTAATCAATTTCAGCCTTGTCCTTCTGATGTGAATGGACCACAATTTCACTGACTCTTTTGTTTTCTTTTGATTTGAGACATCTCGCTATGAAGCCCAGGTTGTCACTGACCTCATAAAAATGCACCTGTCTCTGCCTCCCAAGTGCAAGGATTAAAGGTTTGCATCACTACGCCCAACAATAATGTAGCCCAGGCTGGCCTTGAACTCAGGATCCTCTGCAGGGGCCTCTTCGCATATCCTACCACTGTGAGCCAGCACAGCTGTTCCACCGAACCTTTAAATGTACTTATTCAGTCACGTGAAATGATGTAAAAAATCTATTTCATGGTGGAAGAATGGAATTCCTAGGGGGGTGCGAGAATGGGAGAGCCCCAGGTGCAATGAAGTCAGGACTATCTTAATAACACGCTGTGTAGACTCAGCTGTGTATTTAAGCTCCGAACGATGTGTGTTTAACAAGTTAAAACAAGAGCTGCCTGTTCAAACCTTTGCTGACATTTGCTAATCATGGAATTCATTGCGATATGAGAAACCAGTAGTCTTTCACTTGGAGTTAGAGAAATCCGGACACACTTACAGGTCGTGCTCCTGGTACCAGAGGCCACCCTTCGGAACTGCGTGGAATCACCTGCTAAGGGCATTAGCGTGTCCCAGAACTCGACATTGCTGTTTGACTCATTCTGACTGACGCAGGCGGCCAAGCTCCCCTGCTCTGTGCTGGCTAAGTGTCTATGACACTTCCTCATCAGAAGGGGATCCTCTAGGTCAAGGCTGTGGAACGCTGAGCCACTGGGGAGCCAGGCTGACAACAGGCAGCGACTTGGGCTGAGGGGCTATGGCCTCTCTGGGGACCCTTAAGAGACTTTCATGAGCTTCGTGACACCCCTACTTCTGGTTCTTTTGCCTCAGTAGCGAGTCTCTGCCCTGTCCCCACGTGTGAGCAGTTTATGTCTCATGTCCCCGGGTCTGTACCTCTGTCCGTCTTTCTTTCTCTGAGTTTCAGATCGCTTTTCCTTGAGTCCCCTCCACAGCTCACTAGCTGCCACTAGCCTCTTGTTTACCACACTCTGCCCCCAGGTCGTTATCTTAGTGGGGGACACCGTGAGCCTGGCAAGCTGGACTGGGGAATCGCCACTGGGTCCTCCTTTACTCCATTTTCATTCTGCTCACCACACTTTGATTATTTCTTCATTTGGCGGCTTGTTTTGTAAATGCCAAGCACCTACGATGTACCAGGCATGGTGTAGGTAGCTCTTGGTGAGCAAAACCAGCCAACATCCTGCTCAGTTTTGGAAATTGACAAATAATGTCATTGAGAAACATGTCGGTGCTGGAAACAGCACTCAGCGAGCAGAGGGCTCGACCAGCATCGCGAGGCCGCGGGTCAGTTCCTACCACCTCATAAACAAGGTGTGGTGCTCTACACCTGAATCTCAGTGCTCAAGATGTGGAGTCAGGAGGTCAGATACAGGTTATCTCGGCTACGTATGGAGTTGAAGGCTAACCTGAGCTACACTAGTACTTGTCAAGGAAGGAAGGAAGAGAGAGGAGAGAGAGAGAGAGAGAGAGAGAGAGAGAGAGAGAGAGAGAGAGACAGAGACAGAGACAGAGACAGAGACAGTTGTTTGGTGATGGGACAAAGAAGACTTCCCAAGGATAGGCATGCGAGAGAGAGCAGTAATGAGCTAGACAAGATCAGAGACTTTGGCTTCTAAGCAGGCAGAACAACTGTGTTTAAGTCCAAATGAGATGGAAAGAGTGAGGTATGGCCTTCCCAGAGCGAGCCAGTGAGTTTTAAGACAAAGTAGGGACATTGAGGGGTGACAGATTTATATGCAAAATCTGTCTCACTGCAGTGTGGAAACATCAGATTGGGTGGGGCTTGAGGAGCGTGAGACGAGAATGCGCCCAGTGACGTCCTTTAAAATTAGATCGATTCATTTTATTTTACGTGTGTTTTGCCTGCATGTATTTGTGCACATGGTCCTGCCTGGTGCCTGTGGAGGTCGGAAGAGGGAATCAGAGCCTATGAAACTGGAGTTCCAGTCATTCTGAATCACCGTGTGTGTTGGGTACCGAACTCCGGTCCTCCGCAAGAGCACAAACACTCCTAACCACTGATCCATTTCCCAAGTTCCAGTTCCTTCTCTCCTCAAGCCATGACCACCAGCCCAGACTTGCCTCGTCTCTTCCCTGGGTCTGATTTACTTTTGACATCTGTCAATAGGAGAAGATGGATAACCAACGATCCTTTACTGAACTCAAAATGAGAATTCAACCCCGTGCTGTGGCCTTCAGACCTAGTTAGTTCCCTCTCTGGTGTCCCGTGTGTCCACAGCTGTCCTCGTGTGCCTTCCCTAGGTCTTAGTCTAGGAAAGGGGAAGTGGGGGACAGAAATAGATTAGTCCAAGTCAACTCTGAGGCCGAGGCCGCGGGCTAGGGAGTTGATCCACATTAGAGCGTGGCCAGGCTGAAGCAAGGGTTTCAGGCTAAGGGAAGAGGACCAGAGCCTATGCTTGGGAGGCACTCAGGGGCCAGACAAGACCACAGGTATCCATGCCGGGGGGTGGTTACTGAAGACAGGACCCAGAGCAGTAGGTGGGAGCATATGAGCCCCAGACTAGCGGAGAACTGATGTTTCTAGTTAGCTAGAACCCTCGCTGGTAAAGGATGGGCAGCTGTCTATGATGTCTGAGGCCCTGGGTTTGATCCCTGGCACCAGGAAAATAATAATAATCACAGGTGGGACTCGGAGATTTGGGCCTGAGAGAGCCAATGACAAAGGCAGACTTGGGGCTGACTTGGTGGGAAGAATGGGCCGACAGCCAAGTTCCTCACACTCTACCTGTCTGAAGCCCAAATAAACCTTATAGCCAGCCTCAGGGCTAGAACTAGAAGGCTCAGAGACCAGAACCAGGCAACCCTGGCCCTTTCCACACCAAGGTCAAAACCACAGTCACACCCATAACACAGTCAAGGCCACTGAAGGCTAGCCCAAAGAGCTGTGACTGCTGGGGAACCCCACAAACACTAAGGTAAGTGAACCTCAGCGTGAGTATGGTCCTGGGAGTAGCCCTGAGGAGGGTCTCTGGGGACCATAACTGTTTGTGGTTGGCATGGTAACCAGGAGACTATGACATCCTTAAGGGTGGGCGGGGTCACAGAACACAAGCTTTAAAGTAAGTGAATCATATGTGGCTCATTTAATTTTAAAGGAGGCCTCTGAGCAGAGCTTAGAACAATTTTTTCCTCTGAGTGCCGTTTCCCAAAGGTACTCACAGAACAATAAGGTGTGACCATAATGGCTGCACTGAGTTGTCTTTTGGACAGTGTTAGAAGGGACATAAAGAAGGTGGACAGAGAATTAAGGCAACTGAGATGTATCGACGAGCTCAGCTCCCGCTGCCTGTGCGACCTCTACATGCACCCGTACTGCTGCTGTGACCTGCACCCCTACCCCTACTGCCTCTGCTACTCCAAGCGATCCCGCGCCTGCGGCCTGTGCGACCTCTACTACCCGTGCTGCCTGTGCGACTACAAGCTCTACTGCCTTCGCCCATCGCTCCGCAGCCTAGAGAGGAAAGCAATCTGCGCCGCTGAGGATGGGAAAAGAGAGCTGGTCAAGTGAAAGAGGATGTAGCACAGTCAGAGTAGCAGCCGCAGCAGGGGAGGAGGAGGGCGGTGGGGACGGTGACAGCTGTCTAGACATGGAAAGGGATCAAGACAGTGACTCGGGTGACTTAGGAGAGGAAAATGGGGTCCATGGTGGGAACAGTGGGGTTCTCCAAAAGCAGCGTGCGGTGGTGGGCTGACAAGGTTGGTGGGAGTTTACAGCAGGAGCGTCAGTTGATTAAATAAGGTGTGGCCTTAATGAGGGGGAGAATTGAGGGGTGTCGCTAAAAGCTACCGGGAGTGGCATACTGGGTATGACTGGGTATGATTGAAGTGATCTGAGTAACTCTGGACCTGCAGAAATAACTGCAGGAGAAGTCACAGTCATTGATCAAATCCTTATTGTTCGCCAGAAGCCTCGGGAGGAGAGCAGACTGAAGGCTAGAGGCTCCCACTGTGTAAGGAAACCGTTCTCCTAGCGAGGCTCAGGCAGAGCTGATCTGGAGTAAGGGCTGCCCTGTTGGCCTTCCCCTCCACCTCAGAAAGGATGGGCGACAAGCTCAGCCTTCACAGTAGATTCAGGCGGATTTCTGTTGAATTGGGTAATTCAACTGGGGGAGTTATGCTTCCTTTAATCCTTGCCTATCTTTTCACAGAGACTTATAGTCTATATAGATGGGGGGCATTGTTCTCTGGTTATATAAGTGACTACCCATCCACTGAAACAGGAAGAAGGGATCAAAGAGGTGGGTGTGATGGCTGACTCCGGTAGCCCTTGAGCTTGGGAGGCAGAGGCAGGAGGAGGCTCACAGGTTCTTGACCAGCTTCTGATGCAGAATGAGTATGAGGCCAGATTGTAAAAGGGGGGTTGAAAAGTTGCCAAGTTCTTCTATCTATGGATACATTAAGTGAAAAAGCAAGAGGTAGAAACATAATGTTTAATAAGGGATTGTTTTTAAAAATAGAGCAGAGACAGATATGACACATGGGAAGATGGGAGGTGAACAGATGGGGAAGGAAGGAGTAATGGGTGTGTAGATAGAGAAAGCCCCTTGACAACAGTGACCGTGATGTTTTATTGAGAAGGGCAGTGGGACAATTACTGGTGATGTCATCAGTCCCAAGGTCAGAAGCAGACCTACCCGGCGATCTGGGAGGGGGTAGTCGCCTACAAATTTATCTACAATTTTGAAGCAAAGTATTTTTTTTTATTCCCCAGGATGTCAAGCTAAATATTTCACTGCGAAATAGGGACTAGTTAATATTTGCCCCAAATATTAAGTGTTCTTTGTGAGTTGCCTGTGTCCTCTCTCCATGGCTCTAAGTCTTCTATCTTGGTTGTCTGGTTGTCCCCGCTTCCTACACTTCTGCCCACTGCCTTGTCCCCCTGGCTTCCCACGAGATGGTTTCCTGGCACACAGTAGACTCGGCCTCAAGCCTCTCTCTCTACTGTGATTCAGAGGGAGCAGCACTTTCTCTGGTCTGCGTCCCCTTGGTTCTGTTCTGGCAGCGTATGTGAAGGAGGCAGGGCCCTTACCTAGCTCCTGGCCCTGTGACCCCCAGGTTTGTCTTTCTTTATCTCTTCTCTGGCACGTTAGTTCCAATTCACGCACCTTGCGACAGTTCCTGCTCTATTTCCAACAGCCAGAGGCTTCACTGTCTGGGAGGGCTGGTGTCTACTCTAAACCTGCGGCTTCAGTCTTCCTGAATGGGGTGAAGATTCCCCGACCTCCAATCCCAAAGGACTCATGACGAATTTTTCTTTCAATGAAATGCCTTCTTTCTTGTTCTCCTATCTCTAATCTGGTTCCTGACCTGTGACTGAATAGGTCTCGAAATAATCAATTTCCATTCAGTTTTGTTTTGTTTTTTTTTTTAAAAACCATCTTTGTTATGAAACTGTGCTCAAGGTCTTTTGAGTTTAGAATTTATATTTGTGTGACCTTTGCCCCTTTAAAGAATGTCTGGGCAGGGCTGGAGAGATGGCTCATAGGTTAAGAACACTGACTGCTGTTCCAGAGGTCCTGAGTTCAGTTCCCAGCAGCCACATGGTGGCTCACAAACCATCTCTAATGAGATCTGGTGCCGTCTTCTGGCGTGCAGGCATAACGATGTATACGTAATAAATAGACAAATCTTTAAAAAAGAATTAGAAATTCCCACCGCATGTCTTTGCTGTTTGAGGTATGTATGTGTACAGCGGGCTGTTTTAGGCAAGGATTTAAAGCCTCGCTCACTCACTATCGGTTTCTTAAGCCACTGCTTTAGAAGCCGCTGTCTCGGACCAGACTGGGCTCTTTGCCGCTTCAGGATTTTCCTGTCCGGTCCAGCAGTCACCTGTATCTTCCCTCACTTTTAGACTTGAAGGAGTGGTGGTGACGGAATTTGGTTTTCTTTCACGAAGCCACGCCACCAGCCTGAATTAAGCCTGTATATCCACACTTCCCAGGCTTCCTTGTCTCTAAAGCTAGAGAAACAAAACCTGTCCTTCCTCCATCCTGTCTGATGAACGGATGCCCATGGAGACACTGACTTCTGGCTTGAGTCCTTGCAACCTGGCACATCTTTGCAGTGCGCCCTTGAGCTGCACAGGGCTCAACCTCTGTGCCCCTTCCTGACTCCTAGAGACCAATCCCAAGACTGCCTTCCATCCACTCACCCAAACACCTGAGGTTAGCCTGACTCTTAATAAGAAATTCCCTGGAAAATCCCACCCACAAAACATGCTGTCTAAAACCTCAATTATTTCTCTTCTTTACTTTCACACTGTGAGTTTGAGGTTTTCACTGAATCTACTCAGTCATTGAGGCTGATGCAAGGCAGAGGTCTTATGACTACCAAAAGTTGATTTTTCCCCCCTTGCTGCTTCTGGGTTCACTAAAAGGTGAAGTGAATGGCCTCTTTAGCGTCGTTTATACTCTTTCTAACTCCTACCTCTCAGAATCCATCATCACTTGAAGAGTTGATGCCCGTGTGGTCAAATGCAATTTTCAATTTTACTTTCTGTGCTAGAAATAGAACCCAGGTCCTTGGGTATGCTAAGTAAGTATTCTACCACGGAATACCCTCCAGGCTCAGATGTGTGTCTGTTATTTGCTTTAACATTTTTGTTTAATGGTACAGGCTTGGGAATTGTTCACATAAAGTCTTGGGGTAAACCTGTGTAAAGTACAGCCCACACAGCCCGATAAAGACAACTAACTCACAGGGTGAAAGCTAAGTGCCTAGCATTTTCTGTTCCCGATGACTAGGGGGTGGCAGAGCAAAGCCAGATCCGCCCGAGTCTAGAGCACACGTGTATAATCACCTGCCAGTTTTCAGTGTGACCCTGAATCGGTGTTAGCTGCATCACCTGGAACTTACTAGAAAGACAAAGTCTCAGCTGTATCCTGCCTAGTGAATCTAGAACTCGGGTGGGAACTGGACACCTGTGTTTTGCGAGCCCGGCTGGAAGGAGGCTGCACCAACACCACAGAACCTGCTCCTGCTGCCCAGTGACATTTGTCTACTCCAGAAGTCTGAGGGAAGGAGAAAAGCAGGAAAAGAAAGCAGAGGAGCCAAGGACATGGCTCAGTTGCTAAAGCGCTTGCCCCGCAAGCATGAGCTCAGATCCTCAGGATCCACATAAAAAATCTGGGTGCTGTGGCATCTATAGCCTCAGCACTGGGAAGGCAGAGACAGGAGGCCCTCAGGGGTGCTGGCAGCCAGTGTAGTCTAATCAGTGAGGTCCAGAGCGAGCCCCTGTTCCAAAAACTAAGGTTGCCTGATGTCAACCTGGCCTCCACTCACACATATGCACGCACACACACACACACAAACATGCACACACACACGAACATACATACACACACATACAAACATATGCACACACGGGGGCGGCGGCAGCAGGAGGCAGGTGATGATAAAGATGAAGATGTCAGGAGTGTTTAGGTAGCTCTTTGGGACGGGTTTAAATTCAAGAGAAAAGGAATGTCCCCGTGAAGTTAGAGGAGGCCCACCTGTCTGTGTTCATTTGAGTTCCTGTTACTTTCTCCTGCACTGGGTTGAAACTGATCTCTATGGAAACAGCTGATCTACCGGGAAGGCAGGGTGTTTCCCATTCAAGGGTGGCTGAACATGGGAGTGAACCCAGCTGTGACAGGAGAAAAGTGGGGTGCTCTGTGGAGCTCCGCTGCCCCCCTGCCCCAGCTGGCAAACTTCCCTAGTCCACGGGAGTGGGGCATAGGAGGCCATGTGCCCCTGGCTCAGAACCTTGCAGTTATGGAAAAACCCACTTGGGGTTGTGGGGAACCCACCAGGCAAGAGGCATGTTCCAAGTTCAGAATTGAGTTTGATGAGTCAGATGTGGCCCCAGCAAGTTCTCCTACAACCCACACATTCCCCAGAACCATTAATGTAGAAATGATAAGAAACCTGGCCTAGCGGAGACTTTTAGGCAGTCTTCTGGAAACTCAAAGTGTGGGACTCCTGGACGGTGTGGGGCCCTTGGATAGTGTGGGGACCCTGGACAGTGTGGGGACCCTGGATAGCATGAGGCCTCTGGACAGCATGGGGTCCCTGGATAGTGTGGGACCCCTGGACAGTGTGGAGTCCCTGCATAGTGTGGGACCCTGACAGTACCCGGCCCTGACAGTGTGGGACCCCTGGATGGTATGGGACCCCCAGACATTGTAGAACCCCTGGACAGTTACTGCAGAGCCAAAGGAGTCAAGGTGACAGGAACAGAGGGAAGTGAGGAGGGGCCAGTAACAGAACACATTTGACTAAAGCTGGCACTAGGTGTCTAAGAGGAAACAGATCTGAAAGTTGGCTGTGATTGACAAGTCAGGACCCAGATTAGGCTCCAGTTCCTGCGGCGGCAAGCAGACAGAGCTTTTCCGGGAAGAATCAGCTGAGGCTTAGGGAACCTGCTCAGGAGTCTTGGCTTGCTTTTGTTAGTTCCAGCTGTCTTCACTATCGATATCAGGATTCCACGCTTCTCATCCAAACCAGACTGACTTTCCCTGCACATGTACACAAGCACGCACACGCACACACACGCACGCACACATGCTCACACACACATGCTCACACGCACGCACGCGCGTGCGCACACACATGCTCACACACACACGCACACACACACACACACACACACACACAGAGTCCTGAGAGGCCCTTCACATACACCTCTGGCTGCTTCTTCAAGCCACGATCCAGCCAGAGAGGACCGGTGTCTGGGCTACGCCCTTGTGAGCTCCTCTTTGCCCTCCCAGAGCTGGTGATTTGAAAGAAGCCAGTTCTCTCCTTTGTTTTTGGGATGACCCAAGGCGCATACAGGACAAACAGGACAAGGATGACTAACCAGTTTCCTCAGGGCCAGGGTGGAACGGAGGTGAAGGACTTGCACTGTGCCGCCTCCTCTGCTGCTCAAGTAGTCTCTGTTACTTCAGCGCCTCCTAGGAGAGAGAGCTAGTGGTCACTTTGTGATCAGCCAAGCCCGCGTGTAGTTTTCAGTGCAAGAGTAGAAATTCACCTCATTAAGTCAGTCCCATGAAGTTTAATCAAGTGAGAAATACAAATTAAAAACAGTGTGTATAGCATGATTTGGAAATAAGGGCAAACATAAATCTATGTTTATGTAAAAATCACACACACAACTCACTCACTCACACACATACACATAGACAAGAAAATACAACAAAAGCACTGTTATGTGTGTTATAATATTTAAAAAAATACTTTAGTTTATCTATGCCCCCTGGATCTTCTACAATGAACTTGTGTAACTTAAGCAAAGAAGAACATGTTTGAATAAAATTCAGTATAAAAAGGCATACAGGGGCTGGAGAGAGAACGCAATAGTAAAGAGCATTTGCTGTTCTTCCAGAAGACCCCAGCTCAGTTCCCAGCACCCACTTCAGGCTGCTCACAATCATCTATAACTTCAGCTCCAGAGTATCCCCGATGACCCTGAACCCTTCAGACACCAACACTCACACGCACAAACCTACACACAGACACACAAACCTGCCTGTAGCTAAACTACAGTAAGCAGAAATCTTCACAAGCATTTAAAGTGGTGCAGCGGTGATCTCTAAGCATCATGGGCTGTTGTGAAGTTTAAATAAAGCACCACCTCTGGCGTACTCAGCACTGGGAAGGGTAGATTTTAAGAAAAAAGAAAACAAAGGCCTCCCAACCTAGCTGAATGTTATGCACCTTCGTAAAATGGATTCCGTACATAGGTAGACGTCATAGGTTATCATCATAGTCATAGGCAGATGTCATAGTTGTTATCGTCCTGAACCGAGGCAGAGGAAAGCTCGAGAACTTGTCTGCACAGCAGAGCCTTGCAAGAAGTAAGGGAAGAGAGTCCAGTTCTGGGGCCACAGCTCTGGTTAGGGACTTTGGCCCTCCCTCGCAAAAAGAGTTATTCTTATTTTTGTGTTTATCTCAGTGTGAGCATTGCACATTAGTGCCGTGCCCAAAGTGCACCAGACCCTCTAGAGCTAGTTACAGGAGGTCGTGAGCTGCCTGACAGGGTGCGGGAAACTGAACTTGGGTCCTTTGGAAGAGTAGCAAGAGCTCTCTCTCTCTCTTTCTCTCTCTCGGCTTTTTGAGACAGGGTTTCTCTGTGTAACAGTCCTAGCTGCCTTGGAACTTGCTCTGTAGACCAGGTTGGCCTCAAACTCACAGAGATCCACCTGCCTGTGCCTCCCAAGGCTGGGATTAAAAATGTGCACCACCACCGCCCAGCATAGCAAGTGCTCTTACCCGCTGAGCCATCTCTCCAGCCCAGCTTTCCTATTTCTTGATGCATCCTCACTGCCCAATCAGTGCAAGCTCCTGCTATTATTAAGGGTTACACGGCAGTGCTGCCCAGCAGCCATGGCAAAGGTGCCCCGATTTCTAGCTCACTCCACTCTGGCATCAACATTCCTCTCATGAGTGATTTCAAGTTAGCAACACAACGCTGCTGAATGAGGAGCTGGGGAAACACACACACAACAAACTCTTGCAAGATGATAGGATCCCAGCTATCATGTCACTGGGAAATCTCCATGTATCTGTTCGGCACTGGCCACCAGACAGACTGGATTTCCAGCTCTCCAGGGTCTTGCCTGGTCCAAGGAAGAACTAAGCCAGAGTTCTCTTGCCTTGTCCTTTGCCAGTGAGCTTTCTGGTGGAGTGTCTGTCTGTCTGCCCAGTGATGGCCAGATAAAATCATGCTTTAATGTCCAGATTACCCGGCAACTGTTAGGCTCAAGCAATCCTCCTGTCTCACCTGGAATAGCTGGGTCTGCAGACACACACATTATTCCTGGCTTTGATCTTTAAGACACAGAGTTCAAATGCTAACTTACTGGTTGTGTCTCATAAAAAAAAAAAAAAAAGAAAAAAGAAAAAACCTTGAGCTGGGGTGTGGCCCAGCAGAGAGGGCTTCCCTAACATGCATGAGGCTCAAACCTCAGCATCAGGAAACCAAAGCAAATCTGTCTAACAAGATAACAGTAATCAAGCAAGATGTATGATGAACCCAGCGCGGTGCTGAGTAAAACATGGTCTCATTTAACTCTCCAGCAGTGTTGAGATGGATTATCACCATCATTACAGGTAAGGAAGCTGAGTCACAGAGTAACCAGGTTAAGGACCAGGCCAAGAGTCCATAACTTAGAGCAGGAGGAGCTAGATTTGAGCATTAGAGAAAGATCTGAAAGAAAGGCCAATGGGTTTGGATGGGGTTGATATAAGGAAAAAGGGGGTGGGGAGGTAAGGTGGAGTGGGGACTCAGGGGTGGGGGGTTCGGGGACTGGGGTTGGGGGGGCTCCTATTTTATGTGTGGTGTGTAGAGTCCAGAGGTCTAATCTCTCTTTCTCTCCCCCCTTTGCAACCACAGACTCAGAAGGACCACCAACAGAATCCTGGCCTCATCTTGCTGCAGCAGCAAAATCTTGGGATCGGTTAACGTGTGTGGCTTTGAGCCCGACCAAGTCAAAGTGCGCGTCAAAGATGGGAAGGTCTGTGTGTCAGCCGAGAGGGAGAACAGGTACGACTGCCTCGGATCCAAAAAGTACAGTTACATGAACATCTGCAAAGAGTTCAGCTTGCCGCCATGCGTGGACGAGAAAGACGTGACCTACTCCTACGGGCTCGGCAGCTGCGTCAAGATCGAGTCTCCCTGCTACCCGTGCACATCTCCCTGCAACCCCTGCAACCCCTGCAACCCCTGCAACCCCTGCAGCCCCTGCAGCCCCTGCGGCCCCTGCGGCCCCTGCGGCCCCTGCGGCCCCTGTGACCCTTGCAACCCCTGCTACCCTTGTGGAAGCCGATTCTCCTGTAGGAAGATGATCTTGTAAGGCGTATGTAAGAACCTATGTCTTAGCAGCAGTCAGTACACCAGCCAGGCAGCTCTAGAGCGCTTCTCTTCCCCTTCCCGTAGCCCATGTGGTTCAAGCGCTTAGGAAACTGAATACACAACTGCAATCTGACGACCTTGTGTGCTGCGCCTGTGATTTGACCCCCTGCAGAGTTAGCTCGTTGAAGACTTAAGGGCAAGGGTGGCAGACAGAGGGTACGTCCTCCACACCCAACAACCTCTAAACCCAGAGGCATCCCCCGGCACAGATAATCCTGGGAAATGGCCCTGCCTGCAGAGAACATGTTGGAGTAGTTTAGGTGGAAGATAACACCCAGTGAGGATCTGGTGGTGATGCCACCTCCTTCCCAAGCCCAACAAGACTGTGGATTTACTTGGGGACCAGACAGTCCTTGAGAGAATAGGGCAACGCACAGTATGCTTGCTCGTAGATCCCAGAACAGGGCAGCTGTTGAACTATAGTGTTTCAGCATCCCTGTGGTTTTGACGCTCCACCCCTGGCTCAGGGTATTTTGCAGCCTCCTGGGGATTTATTGAGACTCACTCTCTTTTTACAGTTCTTGAAGCTGGTTTTAGGCACAGAAGGTAATGGAGCTGGAAAGTACAGCTTCCACAATTGACAGTGTACCGCATTTGAATTCGGATCCTCACCAGTGTAGCTCAAGAGCCAGTCTTGTTTCCTTGTTTTTGAGGCCGGTCCTACTGTGTAACTCTGGTTGTCTAGAAAACTCATTATATAGACCAGGCTGGCCTAAAACTCACAGGAATCTACCCGCCTCAGTCTCCTGAGTGCTGGGATTAAAAGCGAGGCCTGTGCCACCACGCCTGGCTTCCAGAGTGACTCTTGACTGCTGGGAAAAAGTAAGTATAAAGGAAGGATGAAGGGACACTGGGGAGGAACTGGCTGAAGCTGGTCTCAGGCTCTTAGAGGAAACACGGACTCTGGTTTACACAGCTAAGTCCTTTCGTTGGTTTTAGCTGCCTGTGGATTAGAGCGGTTTTCTCAGTGTGGGCGGTGCTTCAGAATTACTTGAGGAGCTGTAAAAATATGGATGCCAGGCTAAGAAGATGGCTCAGTGGGTTAGAGTGTGGGCTGCACAAGTGCAAGGGCCTGAGTTCAAATCCCCAGTACCCACTAAAAGTTGGGCATGCCCGCTCATACTTGTAACCCCAGCACTGAAGAATGGAGATAGTGGGTTCTGGGAGCTTGCTGGCCAACTAGCCTAGCCTATGTGTTGAATTTCCAGCTCAGTCAGCGTATTAATTGGGGTTCTCTAGAGAAAAGGAACTGGGAAGATGAGTATACATTTAAAGAAATTTATTCAATTGGCTTACACAGTACTGCCTGGGGGGCTGGAGAGATGGCTCAGAGGTTCTGAGTTCGATTCCCAGCAACCACATGGTGGCTCACAACCATCTGTAATGAGATTCGGTGCCCTCTTCTGGCCTGCAGACCTACAGACAGAACACTGTGTACATAATTAATACATAAATAAATAAATCTTTAGCTGGGAGGTGGTGGCTCACACCTTTAATCCCAGCACTCGGGAGGCAGAGGCAGACGGATCTCTGTGAGTTTGAGGCCAGCCTAGTCTACAAGAGCTAGTTCCAGGACAGGCTCTAAAGCTACACAGAGAAATCCTGTCTCAAAACAAACAAACAAACAAACAAACAAACAAAACCCAACTGTCTGGGTAATCTAACAATGGCTGCCTCACACCGAAGTGGAGAGAACCTGACAATTTCTCAGTCCCTAAGGCTTGGTGTCTCAGCAGTCCCATTCTGATGCTAAAGCCTGAAGGATTTCTGGAGAGCCTCTTGTTTCCAGCCCCTTTGGAAGCCCCTTACGTGTGGCTCTGACACCAGTGAAGGACCATGGCCGAGACAGCAGCAGCAACGGCACAGACGAATGCGCCAGCCGGAGCAAAGGCAAGCAGACATTCAAAAGCAAAGCGTCTCTCTCTTGGACCTTGTTTTCTGGGATGCCACCAGAGGTTCAAGAAAAGGCCTCACAAGTGAGCCCCGAGGCTTACCTTTCAACTGCCTCCAGGGCCACTCAAGTTGACAACCAAGATTAGCCATGACAATGAGAGACACCTATCGAAAGGAGGTAAAGTGGAGAACAAGAGAAGACACCATTGTCTTCCTCTGGTTTCTGCACATACACACATAGACACACGCCCCTACACTCATGTGCATACACAATACACAACACACTACCCACAGCACACAGTACACACACATGCACACATAGACACATACAACCCTACACTCACATACATACACAATACACAACACACTACCCACAGCACACAGTACACACACGTGCACACATAGACACATACAACCCTACACTCATGTACATACACAATACACAGCACAAGTATACATGCGTGCGTGCACACACACACACACATTAAAAATACATGTATGCCAGGATGGGGGAGTAGCTCAGAGGTGGAGTGCTTGCCTCACAAGCTCAGGGCCCAGGGCTCTGTCTTTCTCCCTGAGATTAATCTCTCTGGAGAGTAAAATGTTCATCAACTTGTGGGGCAGCCTGGGCAGCGAGATCTCTAAAAGTCTCCCAGGTGATTCATGCGCGTGATTCAGTTTTTTTTAAAAAAGCTCCTCGACTCTATAATATATTGCATGAACACTAAGACGGAACAAATTGTTCCAAAGCCAAAGGAGGAAGCTGCAAAGAAGAAAAAGAGCCCAGAAACTGAAGAAACAAACCCTATGGCAGGGAATACATCAAGCATTGTCTTAGGGGTCCCACTGCTGCAATGAAACACCATGAACGCCACTCGGAGAGGAAGGGCTTTGGTCAGCTCATCCTTCCGTCCACAGGGGATCATCAAGTCAGGACAGGAACTCACGCAGGACAGGAACCTGGAGGCAGGAGCTGACACAGAGGCCACGGGAGTGCGGCTAGCTCAGCCTGCTTTCTTAGAGCAGCCAGGACCATCAGCCCAAGGGACATGCCCTACAGCCTGATCTCAGGGAGGCATTTTCTTACTTGAGGTTCCCTCCTATCTGATTTCTTTAACGTGTCGAGTTGACATAAAAATAGCCAGCACAAGCATCCAATAAATGCAAATAGAAGTTAAAAAATAAACCCAAATACACCCAGATATGATTATCCATGTGTAAGGATCCTTGAACACATTGGTACAGGGAACCATTTCCTAAATAATCCCAGCAGCACAGACACTGAGAGAAACAATAAATGGGACCTCCTGAACCTGAAAAGCTTCTGTAAAGCAAAGGACACGGTCAACAAGACAAAATGACAGCCTACAGAATGGGAAAAGATCTTCACTAACCCCACATCAGACAGAGGTCTGATCTCCAAAATACACAAAGAACTCAAGAAATTGGACACCAAAAGATCACATAATCCAATAAAAACAATGGAGTACAGACCTAAACAGAGAACTCTCAACAGAGGAATCTAAAATGGCTGAAAGAGGGGCTGGAGAGATGGCTCAGAGGTTAAGAGCACTGACTGTTCTTCCAGAGGTCTGAGTTCAATTCCCAGCAACCACATGGTGGCTCACAGCCGTCTGTAATGAGATCTCTTCTGGCCTGCAAGCAAACATGGAAGGAATGTTGTATACATAATAAATAAATCTTTAAAAAAAATGGCTGAAAGACAATTGAGGAAATGTTCAACATCCTTAGTCATCAGAGAAATGCAAATCAAAACAACTCTGAGATTCCATCTTAAACCTGTAAGAATTACCAGGTTCAAAAACACTGATGACAACTTATGCTGGAGAGGTTGTAGGGAAAAGGGAACACTTCTGCATTGCTGGTGGGAATACAAGCTGGTACAGCCCCTTTGGATATCACTGTAGCAATTTCTCAGAAAATTAGGAAACAACCTTCCTCAAGACCCAGTAATAACACTTTTGGGTATATATCCAAAGGATGCTCAATTGTGCCACAAGGACATGTGCTCAATTATGTTCAAAGCAGCTTTGTTTGTCATAGCCAGAACCTGGAAACAACCTAAATGTCCCTTGATCGAAGAATGGATTAGAAAAATGTGGTACATTTATACAATGGAGTACTACACAGCAGAAAAAAATAATGACAGCTTGAATTTTGCAGGAAAATGGATAGAGCTAAAAAAACATTATTTTGAGTGAGGCAATCCAGACCCAGAAAGACAATTATCACATGTACTCACTCATGGGTGATTTTTAAACATAAAGCAAAGAAAGCCAGCCTATAAATCACAATCCCAGAGAACTTAGACAACAATGAGGACACTAAGAGAGACTTACATAGATCTAATCTACGTGGGAAGTAGAAAGTGGAAAAAGACAAGATCTCCTGAGTAAACTGGGAACATGGGGACCTTGGGGGAGGATTGAGGGGGGAGGGGAGAGACACGGAGGGGAGCAGAGAAAAATGTAGAGCTCAATAAATATCAATTAAAAGATTATCCATGTATAAGGATCAATGCACACCTCAGACGTGTGTCAAATCCCTGGAGCAACTCACAGCAGGGGGCTAGGAATGAAGATGAGGGCTAGAGAGGTGAAGATAATACATAAAATAAGGAGACAGGTGCTGTGAAGTGCCTAGCATACCGGTCGGGAAGTCTGAGCCATGTGGTCTCGCACCAGCCCTACCGCAGGGAAGATAGGTTGCTTTACTCTGTGTTGGGGGCTTGGCCTGCATGTGTGCATGTGTACATGTGTGTGCCTGTGGCTGCAGAGCTCAGAAGAGGGTGTTTGGTTACCTGGAATGGAGTTATGAATGCTTGCGAGATACCACCTGGGTACTAGATTCTGAACCCAGGTCCTCTGCAAGAGCAGCAAGTGCTCTTAACAGTGGAGCCATCTCTCCAGCCCCCCAAAAAAATGCATTTCAAAGAAACCACAGCTCAGGTTAGAGCCTAGGCCATCTTTAAATACTTTGGAGGTGATGCTGATGTGCCTCCAAGCCCCAGAGACGATGGCTCAGATCTGTCACAGGCAGATCTTAGCCAACCTTCTAAACTGGGGGTGGTGGTACCCACGCCTTAAATCCCAGCAGTCAAGAGGCAGAGGAGGGAGGAGTCAGTGCTCCAAGGGGGGGGGGACATCCAGGGCAACACAGAGAAACCCTGTCTCAAAAAAACCTAACCAAACCAAACCAATAAACAGGCAAAAAAAAAAAAAAAAAAAAAAAACCCAAGTCTTCTAGACAGAATTGGGCAAAGGACAGAGTGAGAAACATGGGGGAGACACTGACTCTTAAAAGGCGGCAGATTTTATATTATTATTGGGGGGGGGGAACCCTTTATCTTGTGAGTTACTGGTGCGTGTGTGCCTGTGTGCGTGTTTGGGTTTGGGTTTTCCTTTGCTTTTGAGACTGGGTCTCACCATAAAGGCCAGACTGGTCTAGAACTCCTCAGGCATCAGAGTGCAGGGATCACAGGCCCAGTTCTAGTCCCTTCTACTGTCATTATTGCTATTCATGTTTCGTAATATCACGGGTTTCTGTTCTTTTTAAGTTGGTCCAATTTCTAGAGAGGATTAAGAGCTTTGAAAAATCTTAACAGCTGCTTACGATTTTAAGGGCCATACTAAGTAACAGCAGGTGCTAATCTGAGCAAAAATCTACTTTAAATGGCAGCTGAAGAAGAATCAGTGCTCCAAGGGAGGAAGGAGAGTCAGTGCTCCAAGGGGGGGAAGGAGAGTCAGTGCTCCAAGGGAGGAAGGAGAATCAGTGCTCCAAGGGAGGAAGGAGAGTCAGTGCTCCAAGGGGGGAAGGAGAGTCAGTGCTCCAAGGGAGGAAGGAGAGTCAGTGCTCCAAGGGAGGAAGGAGAGTCAGTGCTCCAAGGGAGGAAGGAGAGGCAGTGCTCCAAGGGAGGAAGGACAGTCAGTGCTCCAAAGGAGGAAGAGTCAATGCTCCAAAGGAGGAAGAGTCAGTGCCCCGAGGGAGGAAGGAGAGGAGAGTCAGTGTTCCAAGGGAGGAAGAAGGACATTTCCAAGGTTTCCTTAAGGGTATCTTCTCTTTTCCATCCTATGGATATGTGAGCATGAATGCAAGTGCCCACAGGCCAGAAGAGGGTGTCAGCTACCCGGGAGGCAGAATTACAGTAAGCTGTGTGACATCTGATGTGGGTGCTAGGAACTAAACTCAGTCCCCCCCCCCCCTGCAAGAGCAGTGCAGCCTCCTAACTGCTGAGCCATTTCTCCAGCTGTCCTTCCCTGCTTTTTAGATTTCCTTGTTTTTTTTTTCTTTTTTTTTGGTTTCATTTAATTCATTTTGAATTAAATTTGAATTTTGAATTCATGCCAATTCCTCCTCAGCCTCCCACAATGTTGGGATTACAGATGTGAGCCACTTGGAGAGGGCTGGCATACTTCTGTTTGGATGTGTGTTTTTGTTTTGGCAGGGTCTTACTATATATACCCAGGCTGGCCTTGAACTCACAGAGATTTTCCTGCCTGCAGAGCGCTAGGATCGAATGCTTACACCACTATGCCTTGTTTTGTTTTGAGACAGGGTATCCCTGTGTAGCTCTGGCTGACCTGGAACTCACTGTGTAGACATTCAAACTCACAGATCCTCCTGCCTCTGTCTGTCCAGGATTAAAAGTGCCTGGCACTCCACTCCACTAAGGATTATTTAATTTCTCAAGACATTCTTATAGCAAACGTAGAGATGTAGTTCGGTTGGTAGTGCTAGCCTAGCCTGCTCAGAGCCCAGAGTTCAGTCTCCAGGACAGCATAAATCTGGTGTGTTAGTTCATGGTAACCCCAGAACTTCAGAAGTGGAGGCAGGAAGATCAGATAATTATTGGTTACATGGTGTGTTTAAAGCCAGCCAAAATAAGCTGTAAAAAGAGAAAGGAGAAAAGGTACACATCGAACATTTCCTCATGTAGTGGAAATATGGGAAGCAAGTTGAGCATCCATTTGCTCTCTTGCCTTTAAGAAACATGAGAAAATAGAGTGTTTATCAGACCGGAAACAAACGTGACACATAAGTGCAAGAAATTCAGAGAGGAGCCTGGGAGGCAGGCAGAGGCTGAGTGAGAAGGCATAGGATCCACACCTGAGCATCTCCAGTCTTCAGTCACCTCCATAACCCTGCCACATCCGTCATTGGCCCGAAAAAACCTTGGAGGGGGGGTGGTCCCGGTCTAACATGTTTCAACATCTGGAGGATGTGTAGGCCCGGCCGCCACAACTCTCAACTCTGCCAAGTGTCTGGAAACTGGAGCCGTCTCTGATTTGATGAGAGAAAAAGTAGAGTGAAAAGGGGTTGGGGTTAGGAAGTAAACAGAAGAGAATGCTAAGGTTTTTCTAGGACTTGTCAGAAACTTTGACTTAGCTCTCAACTTTTGTGGAATGAGGTCATGGGGTGAGGAAGACAGGACAAACTTCATTGTCTGAAAAAGCTCCACAAATAACAGTGACCAACCGGGCATGCAGGCATGCTGGCCCAGGTGGCTTCCAGTGGTGCGTCCCTGTGCCTTTATGGCCCCTGGAACAGGTCATTCGAGTTTGCTCTCACTCTTTGGTCCAAGGGAACTTTATGCTGCCTAAGTAGAAGCTGTTCACCAACGGCTGCCTTACCGGCTTTTGCTTTTCCAAAAGATGTAGGAGACTCAGCTTCATTCAAAACGTAGGTCCTGGGCAGAAGTGCGTGCGTGCATGCATGCTAAAGGTGGTGGGCTTCCCAAGTAGTCAGAACCCAGCCAGATTCTTAGCACTGCTGGAGTATAACGCAGGGTACAGACCCTGGTGGCTCCTTCCCGTGGTTCGTTCTGCACGTCCAGAATCAGAAGACAGGCCTGCCCTCGCCTGAGACATGAGAGAGACACGGAGGACAGGAGGCAGCACTCTTAACCCTGGAACTGACCTCCCGCCAACTTGCCAGGGTGGGGAACTGGAGAACGTGTGCTGCTGCTGTCGGTCATTTCAAACCTATTTGTATGTGACAGGAAGTCCAGTTTCAGCCATTCTCAGGGTTCCCTCTCTCGGGGTTGGATGAGGGTCCTGCAGCCACTGAGGCAGCTCTGCCCATCCCTGTTATGGAACTATGAAATGTCACCCTCGTCCAGTGTCCTGACAAGTCACTGAGAGTCTTCAGTGGGCCCACAGACAGCTGCTCTGTGTCCACTCGCTGTTGCTCAAGTCCACGAGATCGGATTGTTAGGGTAACGCACCCTGCTGCCATCACCCGACTGCAACATCAGTGGCTTCAGGAATAAAGCCTGCTCCTTGCTCGTGTACAAACGCAGAGCGGGTCTTGGTTGGTGCCTTTTTTACCCTGTGATTCCTCCTTCCTGAAGCCTCCAAATATTCTGTGTATAGAAAGAGAAGACGTTTACTTCCTGTCCCCCCTGGTCAGGAAACGTGATAGGTTGCTTCTCCGCCAACCCTATTGGCAAGAACTACTCACGTGGGCCCAGGGTGTAGAGGATTCTGGGAAATGTAGTTTCTGGCTTAGGACACTGTAAACTAAAGGGGAACCCCAGGGAATGTGGCTTTTTGTTTCAGTTTGCCATCTTTGTCACACCCTAGATGACTCAATTCTAGCTAGCGACCACATTTCCTACCATGGAGACATCCTGTCATCTTTCCGCTGCCAAATTTGTCAAGATGTGAGTCCACACTGCCTTTGCTCTTGCTCGTGCACTAGAACGGTACAGGCTCCTTGTTGATCCCCTGTTGTGATTGAAGACACAAAATTAAAAAAAAAAATCTAACCTTAGCGCTAAGTGAACCAGAAAGCTACAACGTAGGATGCTAGACTCCACTGCTGGGCAGCCATGCTAGCCAGCACGCAGGGATCTGGGTTGCTTCAAAATGTGTGTGCGCACACCCGAGTGCGTGTGTATGCGTGTGTGTGTGTGTGTGTGTGTTTGTGTGTGTGTGCACGCTTTCCTCCCCTCAGGTATAGGCTGAGTCTCTTGACTTGTCTGTACTGAGTAGAATACCCCAAATGTCACGACCTTGGGTTAAGAAGATTGTACTACTTTGGTTCTGTAGCACAGTGGGTAGTGTTTGCCCAGCACCCGTAAGTCCATACGTGGCTCATAAAATAAATAACTAAAAAAAAAAAAATTGAAAAGGCTGTGTTCCACTGAGCCCATCGGTTCCTTACTCAGCGCCAGGCAAATTGGCCACTTCACCCACATGGCCCCATGGAGATTCTCCCTGGCAGAGACCTGACATCAGCTCTGCTAGCTCATTCGTGAGGCTCAGCAGCCACAGCGTCATCTTGGGAGTAGATCTTCTCCAGTGGCGGCTCTAGATAACCACGGTCCCGGAGGGCGTCTTGACATCAGTTTTGGGAGGGAGCCTGGAGCAGAGGCGCAGGCTAATGGGCGCCTGGATTGCTTTTCTGTAGCTCTAGTCCCAGGGTACCCAACCCGTTCCCTCTTCTGGCCTCTAGGGCCTCTGCACACATGTGGTGCACAGGAATCTATGCAGGCAAAACATCCACACATTTAAATATTTTTTTTATTTTTTTAAAAAAGGAATCCAAGGCCAGCCTCAGCTACATAGTGAGTTCCAGGACAACCTGGGCTATATGAGATCTTGTCTTTAAAACAAAACAAAACAGGGAGCTGGAGAGATGGCTCAGAGGTTAAGAGCATTGCCTGCTCTTCCAAAGGTCCTGAGTTCAATTCCCAGCAACCACATGGTGGCTCACAACCATCTGTAATGGCATACAGACAGAATAGTGTATACATAATAAATAAATATAAAAAATTAAAAAAAACAAACCAAAACAAAAACTTATCTTTAAATACAGTCATATTTTGAAGTATGGGAATTTGGACTTAAATATGCAAGTTGGGCCGGGCGATGGTGGCGCACGCCTTTAATCCCGGCACTCGGGAGGCAGAGGCAGGCGAATCTCTGTGAGTTTGAGACCAGCCTGGTCTACAGAGCTAGTTCCAGGACAGGCTCCAAAGCCACAGAGAAACCCTGTCTCGAAAATACCAAAAATAATAATAAAAAATATGCAAGTTGGGGAGAGGAATGATTCATTCCATAACACAGAGAAACTGAGGTGACAGACGATGGTCAGGAGAAAGCAGTTCAGTGGGGAAGTCGAGGATGAGCACAGGAGAGCTAGCTTTGGAGAGAGCAGGCAGCACCATCAGGAAAGCCCAGCCATGCAATCCCTGAATTCGACCCCCAGAACTTGTGTTTTATTTATCTATTTAAAGCTAGGTGTGGTGGCCCTCACTTGTAATCCCATGATGGGGAATTAGAGAAAGGTGGGTCCTTGGGCATCACTGGCCAGACACACACACACACACACACACACACACACACACACACACACACACAAAGACTTGGAGAGGCTTCTGGTGGTAGAAGGGCTAGCGGTGATCCGGAAGGACAACCTCCGCAACACATAGCTAGCCAAGAAAGATTCAGAGAAAGCTTGGAGGGGCTGGAGTCTGCTTCCCGCGCTTGAGGAGAATGGCACTGGTATCCAGTCCCATTTTGAGCACTTTGCATAGGAGAAGCTGTGCCTGAGCACACCCGTCTCCACCAGAGGCCTGGGGTAGACAACGGACGGAACCTCGGAAGGACAAGGCGGCCCAGCAAGGAGAGACAGCGCTGGAAGTTAAGGAAACCAGGGAGTGTGAAACTTGACTGTACACAGCAGCCCCTGACGGGGCTTGTTGAACTGAAAATTCTGATTTAACTCCTCCCAAGTACTCTCCCAGAGGGGCTGGGTGGTGTGTCTGCCAAGCACCCCAGGACCGTAGGATTCAGTCGAGGCCTTTTCTCCCCACCGTGGCCTTCTCGATGTACGAAGAAGCCTCTGGTGTGAAACAGAGAGGTGCGAGGGGGAGGGAAGGCAAGGTTCCTGTTGTTTTTCTCGCCGGTATAGTCAAGGCAGGCCCGCACAGAAAGAGGGAGGGCTTTTTAAAACGAACTGCCATTCCGGGATCGTTATGAAGGAACACTGGATCTTTTACTTTTTAAAGACGGGATAAACTGAACGTTCACAGTAAGAGTTGAGAGACCCACAAAAAGCTGGGACACTTTCAGTTCTGGTCAAAACTAGATTTGTCTTGCCAAAGGGCCGCCATAACCCAGTATGCGGCTCCGCCGCTAGGGGGCACCACTGTGCAGGAATGCAAAGGGATTCCGCGGTCCTTCGGAATTGCCAAGAATTAAGCCGAGCCAATGATTTCATTTTCCTAACTTAGACCTTAAAGCGCGTGACAAATACAATAAAAGAGATTTCAGAAGGAGAAAAGACTGCATTTTGTATTTTCCTCGTCAAATGCCTCCTGGAAAATAAGAGGCTACAAGGCAAGGTTCCTGGGTTGTGCGGGGCCATTAGAGGAGGAGCGTTTTAATGGAGAGCAGACAATAACATAGGCACACGCACTTTCTTACCTATGGGGTGGGGATTCTGCTTGGATTTCCCTTTTTGGTTCACTCTCCCTGGAAATGGGTGTAGACCACGCTCTCTGCATGGCTTGCATTCCTTTCTGTTTTTTTTGTTTGTTTTTTTTTTTTTTTTTTTTTTTTTTTTTTTTTTTTTACGTCGTGGCGACGGAGCAGGGAGAGTCCTGGGAGCTGTCAGTCGGCCGGCTTTATTTAGAATTCAAAGGAGAGCTCCATCACCCCCTAGCGGCTGGCCTAGGCCTCCTTCGGGCACTGCGCTGGCGAACTGGGGGTGTGAGGCAGCCTCCTCTTCACAGCTTCCACTGAGGGCTTTGTGGTCGTGCAGTTTGCTCCCCAGGAGTGAAGATGAGGCCGAAGGGCCTGCCCTGCTCGCCTTAGTCTGGCCGTAAATCCTTATGGGTCAGAGAGGTTCCCAAGTCATTGCATTGGATGAACAGAGCTGGGCCAGGCCAATGAAGAACGTACACGGAAACCACCCCTGGATCTTACTCTCAATGAATGCTGTGGGGCCACAGATACTTAGGAAACTAGATGGAGAGGCCTGGAAGAAAGCCCAGTGCTACCAGATACACAGCAGCGTCATTTCAACTCCCTTCTCTTGCCCTCCCTTCAGAGCTCACCCCAAAGATTCCCACAAAACGGTTAAAGTGCTTCAGAGCTTACAAGAGGAATTGACTTTCATCCGGAGAACCAGTGAGGGCTTCCCGGAGGAGGTGGCACCGAGTGGAGCTCAGTAAGAAGTCTGAGCCACACGAACAATGGCACACAGTGGGGAGAGTGCGGACGACCCGAGAAGGGTTGGGGGCGCGGCTCAGAGCTCTGGATTTTAGTTAGGCGTGGTGGCTCCCACTTGTAACCTCAGTATTTTTGAGGCTGGTTTGAGGAAGATTGTAGGGATTTTTAGGCTAGTCTGGGCTAGAGTGTTCTCCCCCCCCCCCCCAAACAACAAGATTTTATGACCAGCAAGGGGAGACATCGTGGCCTGGTCCAGACTGTTACCTAACACTTTCACTGAGAATGGCAGTGGCCAGCAGTAACTGGAAAGGGTCCTTCCTACTCATTCAAAACAGCGACGAGAGCACAGGGTCAAGGGTCACTGCTCCCATATTCACGTTAGCATGGGTGCAGTGATATTTCATTTGTATTTTCATAAATAAAGCTTGCCTGGAGATCAGAGAGTGAAACAGCCCCACTGGTCAGCCTTCCAGACCAGGCAGTGGTGACACACACCTTTAATCCCAGCAGCCACACTAGGTGCCATAGAAACCAGGCAGTAGTAGTCTATGCTTTTAATCCTAGAACTAGAGAGGGTTGTAAAACGGGAGGAGACAGCTCTCAGGCACAGTCTCATACTGAGATTTCTAGAGGCAGGATCGCCATTTCGGACTGAGGTGGAGGTAAGAGTCAGTGGCTGGCTACTTTGCTTTTCGGACCTTCAGGTTGAACCCCAATATCTGTCTCTGGGCTTTTATTAATCATGCTGGGATTATAGCCACACAGCACCACACCTGGCTTTACATCATTTCCTTATTAATGTATAGGAATATTCTTTATTGATTAAGAAAGATCTATTTGGGATATGGCTGTGGAGATTTTCTACAATTTGCTGTTAATCCCCCACTATGCCCACTGCTTCCCCTCAGGCAAACGGCTTTCATCTTTATGAAAGTGGATCTTCTCTACCCCAGGCTTCTGGATGCTCTCGTGCTCAGCCAGGAAGGCCTTCCCTGCTCTCTCTGGTCTGGTCCGAGGGAAGAGAGCAGGGATTCTGTTTGGCACCATTTCTCAGGATTCCTTTACACATCAAGAGCCATGGAGAACTCTTGGTCCCTTGATTACAGGAAGACCATGTATCCTAGAAATTTCCTGCATTTGGAATGCCATTTTATCAAATCCTCACACTACACGTGAGCTGTTGACATTTTCTTCCTTTTCAG